TTATCTGATTAATAGTAGACTGTTCCAAACGATCGAGAACAACAGAACATTGAATAGTTGAATGAATATATTTAGCCATTGGCGTTCTTTTTGTATTATTGCGAAAAGTATTAGTAGCCATTGTGATAAATTCTGTATAGAAGAAAAACGATTTTTAATCAACATTTTAAATATATTGATATAATTTTTTTATAATGAAATCTAGATCACGTAACCTGTTTCATCACTTCTATCAACAATTAACAAAAACTATTTACCAGAGATTCTAGTTAAGAGTAAAACTAACTTGATATTAATGCAATCATTACTAAGGCTATCATTAAAATATGCCCAGTGTGCTAGACACTTGAATAAATCAGTAAAATTCCTATTAGCAAAGTGACTCGGATTTCGATATCGAAACAGTATTTGTTTGAAAGTATTACGAGTATCGTTTTATACTCAGATTCGAAAATTTTAAGTACAATATGTTCTAATGAAATGATATCAGCACACAAGTAAGATATTTTTTCTATTACATAAATATGCCTTTCTTAGTTTTATGGAAAAAGTGTTGGAAAGCTGTTCTTATTAAAATTTCGTCTTCACAAGAAGAATGTACAGCTATAGTATTTAGCTCGTATCGAAATTTCGAGCTGTAAAAGGAATTCGTATTTTACAGTAAGGCGTTATTTTTATAATCAAATTAGAAATCCTCTCGAATACTCGCACACAACAAACACATTTTATCATGCAGAAATTACGTGATCGAACAATATATATTATTTATAATCGTGCAAATCAATGTCTGTACTTTATCACTCAAAATAATCATTAACATATAGTAATCATATTTACAAATATAGGTATTATACGGAGGAAAATCTCTGGATAGATTTAATCAAAATGTCTTATGAGATTTTCGTCATTACCTGATTTCGATACTTTTCGTTTGTGTTTCTTTTTATGTATTGATTTTGACATACGTGTTTGAGTTAATGAACGTAGTAGCAGACTATCAGCTGTGGCTTTTCCATCTGATGAACAAAATAGTTCAATATCATTTGTAATTGATAAGAATTTTAAGAATGGTAATAGAATATATAAAGATTGTCGAACACGATCACCATTCTTAGCTAATGGAAGTAAACAAAGTGGAGCAGTTAATCGTTTTGCCAATGGTCGTAATATTGGTAAAGACACAGAAGATTTTTTAGTCTTACGTCGAAGACCAACATATGCGAGAATTTCTTCTTCATCATCACTTGTCACGTGAAATATCTCCTCAATATTTTCTTGAGTTTTATTATTATTATTATCGTTATTATTATTATTATTATTATTTATATCACTTTTAAATTTGATTGGTGGTTTACAGATATCCGGCGTTGATAAAATTGATGATGCTATCGATGCTCGAGGTAAAATTGGAGTAAATTGTGATCTTGTTGCAATGACTGGCATTTGATAGATAATTGAATTTGATGAACAACATGCAGTTGCTGTCATATCAACAAAAAATTTACAATAATCTAAACAAGCAAAAATAAGTTTTTTCTATAGATGACGCTTTGAATTTTTGTTGTAGAAATCATCATGAGTCAAAATGAAGAAAAGTCGAAGGTTCTCGAGCAAGATATTCATCGAAGCATAACCATGTAATTTGAGAGTTTATTATTTCGTCGAATCGTGTGTTATTGAATAAATGAAAAGTGATTGTCCAATGATCAATAGATGAATGGAATAACTCAAACAAACATACAACAAAATGAAACGATTACGAATGATGATCATTTAGTTAACAATCGATAGTAGCGCTCGGTGTGTTATTCGATGATTGGTAAGTTTTATTTTTTAAAGAAATAGAAATTTTATTGAAGTTTTTAAGAATTAAAATAATTAATTTTCAAAGAATTTTCTCGATTGGACTATTTGATTAATTTACAGTGCCCTCTGTTGGTTTCCTTAACAACTCAGTTTGAATTGTAACGGTTGTATGGTGATGTCGCCACAAAATTATTCCAGCAATTTAGCATATTTCAGTGAAAGAATTTTATCAGTAGATCAGGCATTTAGACAATCACGAAGTGATTATTTATAGTTTAGGAAATAGAGTACTTGTTAATATTTACGCACTGATATCATGGCTGCTTCTGCTCGTCTTCAAAAAGAACTTGAAAGAAAAGCAACAATTGCTTTAGCTACAACAACAGATCCATTGGAACGTCTTCGTGCCGAATGTCTAAAACGAGGAGCACAAGGTATTAAAGGATTATCACTGTATGTATTGTTTTTTCTTCTTCATATTGAACAATTAATTGATGTATATTGTAGTTTATTTCGAATTATGGATGATAACGGAGATAGAAAATTGAATATGGAAGAATTTCAGAAAGGTGTTCAAGAATATGGTTTAAACTTTTCAAAAGCTGATATTAATGAATTGTTTCGTAAATTCGATACTGATAAGAATGGTAGTATTGATTACGAAGAATTTCTATTTAGATTACGAGTATGAATATCTTATTTCATTTATATTTTCCCTTAATAACATATTAATTTAGCCTCCAATGAATAATTTCCGTCTTGATTTAGTTGCGAAAGCTTTTGCTAAACTTGATAAGTATGTACTCTATATTTAGAAGAATGAAAAAAAACGATTAGAATATTTTTTGTGGATAGAAATCATGATGGACAAATTACAATTGAAGATTTACGTGGTGTTTTTAATGTTAAAAAAAATTCAAAATATTTAAGTGGTGACATGGATGAAGATAAAGGATTACGAGAATTTCTTAATTCTTTCGATTATGGTGAACACATAGATGGTGTTGTATGTATTAAAATTTCATTTCATTTTTTAATAATAATTGTTTCTTATCTATAGGTAACACGTGAAGAATTTAATAATTATTATTCAGGTGTTAGTGCCTCAATTGATAATGATATGTATTTCGATTTGATGATGCGAAATGCATGGAAACTATAAATTAATCTTTCTTTTTTACGCTTTCTCAAACCGACATGAATCAAAAATACTTAGGAATTTATTGATACAGTTTTTTTTTCTACATTAGTAATTTCTTTTTTCTCATAACGTTTTATTCATATACTTAGATGTGCAACGATCATATACACAACAGAAGTGATACATACATTTATATATCGTCTATAATTTTGATTTGATCCAAGTACTTTTTTTTGTATTGAAAAATAAACAGATTATACGACGCAATGGTTTTTCATCATTTATAAGGCGACGGAATAATATCTCGTGATGGAAATAGTAGTCGAGTAACCAAACGAGGGCTCAGTCACTACCCCTGGTGGGATCTAACTCCTTCCCTCTCCTTGAAAACTACGCCAGCCCCTCTACAACCTTCTCTGGTTACGTCCCCAGTCAAAATACGTCTGTCGCGTTGAATAAACGATACGAGTGTATTATAATCGCATTGTAATATTTCTGTCAGTTCTATTCATAAATGCTCGGCTATGAAACAAAAATCAATCAATCAATCATAACTGAATAAATTGGATAATAATAGAAATTCAGTAAAAACGTGGCTAAATCAAGGTTCATCAAAAACAAGATTGATTTATACACTATGTCGTAGTGGTTATTTGAACTGTTCTAACAAAAGCTGGAAAGCTGTTGGGCAGCACATGTAAAATGAAAAACACAAAACAAAAATGCTAATGCTCTGAAGAATAATTGACAATTTACCTTTTCAATATCACCAACAACGATATATTCTGCGTCGTCAACAAATATTGTTCAACTATCTGATAGTGAGATGCTAGATCTCAAGGCATAAATAATGTGTAACACTCCCGCTACGTGCACTGTATGCACGTGCTTATCTTTTTGTCCTTACTTGATACATCACATTGTACTTTGGCCTTATCAATCTTTTTCTGTTCTTTGATGTACGATTATATAAAGGTATACTACGTATGATAAGGATGCGTTATCTTTATGAGAAGACATATAATAAAATGTAATGCGATCAACATTACACTTCTTCTATTAGAAATTTCTCACACAATTTTATTGATTTAGCTGCAATAAAATGAAAGAGAAACCATAAAAAAGAGCGATAACATACAATGGAAAGGATGTGAACACACTTAATCATAATATTAATGTTATATAGTATTAATGAGATTACTCGAACAGAAAGAATAATATCTCTATTGGAACAAATAATAGACAATAGAACATATAAATCAATAGAATGTGCCTATTTCAAGTAAAATAATTTCGCTTCTCAAACTGAATCAGATCAAACAGAAGTGGGAGATATATCGACATTTGAAAATTATACTTTGAAGTATAAAATGATTCTTGGAAGTGTTATCCCTAAGGATCTTATCTATATTATTAAAAGAAAATCGGCAGATATACACAATTCAATAAGTATTAAATAAAATTTCTAATTTTTTTATTTGGATATTTATTTAAAAAGGAAAAAAAATACTAGTTTTGTTGTATATTTATTCAACAAGTACAGTATATTTTTTTGACCATGATGGATTATTATCTGGTAGTAAACCTTGCCATGTTTTTTCTTGATCAACACGAATTTGTTCACGAATATGTTTATGTGTCATAGACGCTGGTAAAAATATACCTTGAAAGAATGCATGAATCTTTGATGCATATGCAGATAATGATGTTTCACTATTTATTGGATCTTGATGTTCTATTTTATTGAAATATAAATCCAATAAAAATTTATAGAAAATAAACATACCTCGACTGAGTAAGGATTGAGTTTTGTCAATATCATCTGTACCTTCACCAATGAATTCAGATACTTCACGAACAACAATTGTTGGAAGTTCTGATGCACGACTTTCTTGATATTGATCATGATTATTTGGCTAAGAAAAGCGAATAATTATTTCTTATTAAACATGATATTAATTATTATTTTACCGAACCAATCGATGGTTGTGAACCAAGACTACGATCAGATCCAGCTGTTTTCGATGGTCTGTTGTAATTATTATAAAATTTATTAACAGGATAAACAAGTGCACAAGAAATTAATGCTTCAAAGAATTCGAGAAAGGACATCTGAATAGTAATTGTTATTTTTATACAAATAATAAATTGAAAATAATAGATTTACTTCGATATCTAAACGAATATCGGAATTTTTTGTTGAACCTGATGGTCGAATATTTGGATCTTCTTCAGCTAATATAGATATTACACGTGATGCTGTTAAATGTACACTATCAACTAATTGAAAATGTTTAAGCATTAACAAAAAATCACGTTTTTGCATAGTAATATCATCTGGTTTATTCTTTTGAATAGAAAAATAATTAGAAAAAAATTCAAATAATAAATATCAAAAACAAACTTTTTTTTTTGTACAAAATGATAAATAAATCTTGTAACATTGTTCTTTATATGGAAATGCTTGAATATATTTTTGTGGATCAGTAAATAGATTTCCTATTAAGAAGAATTATAATATAAATTCGAAATTTTAAAATCGATATATTTATCGTCTACATAGTATAGGAAAAACAAAATTTTGATATTGAATAATAAATCTTCGATCTGATGAGTTGAAAATGTGGAATGCAATAACAGTTATCAATGTATAAAAAAAGGATCGATTCGAATTCAAAATGAGCGTCAGTACTACCCAGGCAGACAAGCATTTGAAAAAACGTGTGTAAACGTACAGTCGGTAACCTCGACTGTGAGCTGAACACGCCAACTAATAAAACGCCAAAAACGCCGTTTTTAACGTGTAACTGGCACTTTCAGAACGTTAAAACGTTACGAATCTCACTTTTTTAGCGTTTAAACGCATAGCTTTTGAGATGTATAAAAAAGCACGTTAAAACGCTAAAAAAGTCAGATTTGTAACGTTTTAACGTTCCGATAGTGCCAGTTACACGTTAAAAACGGCGTTTTTGGCGTTTTATTAGTTGACGTGTTTAGCTCACAGTCGAGGTTCCCGACTGTACGTTAACACGCGTTTTTTCAAATTCTTGTCTGCCTGGGATAATGAGCCTTTTAGATTAGCGTAAGCTTTGTTGAGTTTTAACAGACTCTAACAATTAGACTTAATTTCATACTAAGTATGTAATTAACTCAATTTTTCTACAAACTGTAGTATGACAATTTAGATTTAAATAATCTCGTAGCAGAAAAAATATGAAAGTATTTGATAGCGTAAACTTATTTGGCTTATACACAAACAATCTTGAGTATCTTCAAAAGCGGAATAACTAACAAGTTCTAGATTCTGCCAAGCTCGAATCTCATATTCTCACTCGATTAAGATTTCAATTTGAATATAAAGAAAAGTTGATCTTTTATTAGTTACCGAACTTAGAATGTTTCAAAGCGTGAAGAAAATAAAAACTAGATTCACAACTTTTTTCCTGATACTATTCATTTTGATTCTACATGATTGCAATTCATCGAACGGAAGTATTTATTACTAAAATAAATCCTCTTTTTGCTTCATTATGAATGATAAATAGAAAAATAGTTATTGTCTGATTCACGAATTTTTTTGTAGATTTGACAAATTGAAATCAATTTCCTAATTACAAACCTCGAATTTTTCCTGCTTGTTGTAAAATATTTTTTTCAATAATTGTTTCCATTGAAGAAGCAATTTGTAAACTAATCGGTTGTTGTTGTTGTTGTTCCGATGAAGATTCACTTTGTCTATATAAATAAAATTTCGTTTTAACGATCGAAAAAAACACAGTAATATTAGATATACTCACATTTTTTTCAATCGATGTAAATGAAAACAAATAATAGCAATAGCATTTAAAAATTCTCGTACTAAAACTGATTCATCTGGTCCATGAAGATTTACTGTTGGTAAACATTCAGCTAAAATAAAAAAAATAAAAGATTCATTAACAATCAAGAAAATAGAAATTATTTTTACCAATCATTCGATCATATTCGATTAATGTAACACCATAACTATGTAAATTACAATCAAGAATAAATCGCCAAAATTGTATACGTGTCATAAGAAAAGTATTATCAATATTTGTTTCTAAATCAACACCTAATCGAGCGTATATACGATACAGTCGATTTAATTGTGGAAGATTACGAAATAGAACATGAAAAACCTAATAAACAAAAAATAGAATGCAAGATTATGTTTAAATTCCATACTTGTTCTGTAATTTTCTTTTTTTCATCTTCTATTGTTGATAAATGATTAAAAACAGGTTCGAATTGTAATTTAAAACTAGGACCAATTGTATTTCGACTTTCACTTCGTCTTAAATTATTTGGATCAAGTGTATTTGATGCTATGAAAATAATCCAATTTTTGCATTTATATAAAGAGATGAAAGAGGTCTTATCTTACCAGATGGTATTGATCCTATTGATCCTATTTCAGGTAATTCAATTAATAACATTGATGTCATATCATTTGTTAAAGGTGTTGTGATACGATCATATGAAAAATCAGCTTCAATTACTGTACCATTTCGTAATATGACTTTACCCTAAATAATCAATTTTTCTTTCTTTTTAAAATATTTATTAATTCTATTACTTTTCCATGTTTTTGATCGGATTTCCATTCTCCGATATATTTTGTTCCACTTGAATAATAGAATGTTCCTTGTCCATGTCTTCGTCCATTAAGAAAATTTCCTTCATAATAATTTCTCAAAGCATATTGTGATTCTTCAGCTCGAATAATATACCAAATATGAATACCATGTCCTTGCTAATTTCAAATATTTTATTTTTCAGTATATATATATAAAAGAAAAATAAACAAACCTGTATCCCATTTTCCCATTGTCCTATATATTCTCCATTTCCATTACTCCAAGAAAATACTCCATATCCATGTCGTTTACCATTGACCCACATTCCTTCATATAAATTACCAGATGCATATTGTCGACGACCTTTACCAAATGGGATATTAAGAATAAAATCACCTGTATAATAATTTTGTCCTGTACCATCGAATTGTAATGTACCCTAAATAAATCAAATAAAATTAATCTATTCAATAAAAAATTTCAACATACTCTTCCATGCATATTACCCATATTCCATTCACCTTCATAAGTAAGTGGACTTTGTCCATGACGAAATACTCCTGTACCATGACGCCGACCACGAAGTACATCACCATGATATTCACTATAGATATTTAAAAAAAAACGAAATTATTTAAATACGAATGATCTTTGAAAGAAAATGAATGATACACTCTACGTAAAGCTTTAGCATACTAATTTATCATAAAAATGGTTATAAGAAAAGCTTTTTCTAGAATGATTATTTTAGTACAATTTTGTCTATTCATTAGGAACTATTTGAAGAAGTTCCTGTATGTTAATATAAGATTCAGAAAGAGATTTATTCATTTTTATGTACCTTCCATCAGGCCAACGATATGTTCCAATACCTTCCAATTGATTATTCACAATAGAGCCTGAGTAAACTACACCATCAGCCCATTCATAACGTCCTTGTCCATTCATCATACCACCACTCCAATCACCCTATAAAATTATATAAATAAAAGTAAAAAATTTCATTTTTCAATTTTTTTACTGTATAGTTATGACCACCAACATATGTCGCTGTACCATATCCTTCATATAATCCTTTTTCTTTTCCTCCTTCATAACTATTTCAAAAGAAAAATGCAATACATATATATTTATATATTCATCAAACCTTAATACAATTAGATTAGGTAAAATAGGTTCTTCATATTTAATATCAGCATCTGCTACACCTGCTATCGTCGCATTATCTCCAGTTTCACCACCTTCACGATTTCCTTCTGTATGTTGACTAGGTTCTGATGTTAATCCACCTGTGTCTTTATTCATATTTTCATCTATTGGTGTACCAGCTTGAGATGAACTTCGAGCTAAATTTCCTGCTGCTGTTTTCGTTGGTGACGCATGTCCAGTTGCTGAAACATTATCACCGGTTTCATCAGTACCTTTTTTCGAATTTTTAGTTGACTCTTTTTTCTTTGTATCATCTTCAGATTTAGCAGTTTTTTTTCCACCTGCTTTTGCTGGCATCTTATGTTTTTAATCAAACTAAATTTTAAAAACGCCATTCATTCTCAATATTCCATGGTAATAAATAACATCGAAGAATAAAATAACTTCTAGCGACTTATTCTCTATTGGTGTTTTTTATTACAAATCTTCGATGTCTTTCTTTTTGTTTCTTTCATATACTTGTTCTGTTGTGGTAGCGAAGAAGCTTCTAGACGATTCTCGGCTGCTGCTTTCTTCAATCGATTAGGAAGAAGAAAGAACGATAAAACAGAATATTACGAAAGAATAAAAGTAGACACGTATTACAATTGTTATGTTAGTATAACTAGAGAAAATAAGATATTTTTTTACAGATTTTTATTTTATTTATATTCTTATACACATTATGGGTAAAGATTATTATAAAATATTAGGTATAAAAAAAAAAATAAAATTTTATATTTTTAAAATTATATTCTTTTGTTTAAAATTTTTGTCTAGGTTTAAGCAAAGGCTCCTCTGATGACGACATAAAAAAAGCTTATCGAAAGCTGTAAATGTCTATAATTTTTAATTTAAAACATTCGTATTTTCTAATTCGATGAATCAATTTTAGTGCATTAAAATATCATCCCGATAAAAATAAAGAAGCTGGTGCGGAAGAAAAATTTAAGTCGATAGCTGAAGCATATGAAATCTTATCTGATCCAAAGAAGAAAGAAATATTCGATAAATATGGCGAAGAAGGTACAAAAACAAAATTTAATTTTTATTTAAATAATTTAATTTATTGTTTTTTTTCTAAAAATTAGGTTTGAAAGGTGGCGTCGGCGGTCCAAGCGGTGGCCCCGGTGGCGCTGGTCAATACTTTTCTCAAGCTAATGTTGATCCACATCAAACTTTTCGAATGTTTTTTGTAAGAAAATTTTTTATTTTAATATTAAATTCTTTTTGGAATTTTTCAGGGAGGTGCTGATCCATTTGCCATGTTTTTCAGTGGCGAAGATGATGAAGGACCAGGCGGTAATTTTGGTGGATTCGGTAATATGGGAGGTTTCAATTTCGGAGGTCATCCTAGTCAACACCAACATAGTCAAATGCAAAGAAAAAAAACTCAAGATCCACCTATTGAACATGAACTATATGTCACATTAGAAGAAATTGCTAGTGGTACAACGAAAAAAATGAAAATATCTCGAAAAGTTTTAAATCCTGATAATCGTACAACACGTTCAGAAGATAAAGTTTTAACAATTGATATAAAACCAGGATGGAAACAAGGAACAAAAATAACCTTTCCACGTGAAGGTGATCAGAGTGCAACAACAATACCAGCTGATATTATATTTATCATTAAAGATAAACCACATTCAACATTTCGTCGAGAAGGTGCAGATCTTATTTATACAGCAAAAATTACTCTCAAAGATGTAAGTTATAAATAATATATTTTATCTCGAATATTTTTGTTTATTTAAAGGCATTATGCGGAACAACTATTAATGTTCCGACACTTGATCCAAATCGTATAAGAAAATTACAATTGAATGATGTTATTAAACCAATAACTGAAAAACGTCTTTCTGGTGATGGCCTACCAAATACAAAACAACCGACAACTCGTGGAGATATTATAGTTAAATTTGATATTAAATTTCCAGATGCACTTAGTAAAGAACAGAAAGAAACAATTTCATCAACGTTACGTAATTAAATTCGTGAATGAATTCTACTTTTTTGTTGTTTTATGTATATTTTATATACTAATTTACAACAGACAAATAAAAGGCATGTCTATAAAAGTAACAACATGTTTTTCTGTTCATTATATTCAATGTCTTTTTTCTCTTTCAACTTATTTTATTTCTTTACTTTCCTTCATCTTTTTTTGTATCTATTTTCTTTATATAAAAATGAAAAACATGTTCTTAGATGAAATATTTCATTTGTTTTTTATTAGCATTAGGATATTTGACAATACAAAAAAGAAATTGATTTATTTATGTAAATGATTTTTAAAATGTCATATTTTATTGACAAAATATTAAACAACAAAACAAAAACCATAGAAATTGATATATTATTGTAAATTAATAATCATCGTTATTTTCTAAATATAAAACAAAAAGAATTTATTAATAATAAATTGAATTTTCTAAAAAAGGGGAAAATTTTCGGTATGAGGGTGGGATATGGTTGTTTGTTCTTCATCTACCTCAACAACATCGACACCCAGTGGCCGCGCCAAGGGTCTAAGATTCAGGGGATGCAGCGGGCCTTGCAGAGGTACAGAATCTTTCGGAAAACCAAAAACTTTCCCCCCTCCCCGGAAAATATTTTTCGAAAATTTCCCTGAAGTAAATTTTGAAAAATTCCCCAGAATTTTAAAAAATTTCCCGGAAAATGCAGTTTTTGAAAAATTTTGCGGGGGGTGTAAATAAATATTTCGATCAAAATTTCAAAAAGAAATATAAAATTTGCAGTTACTGAGGGGGTGCACACCCCCCTCCCGCTCGTGGGCCCCTGCTCACGCCCACCTTTACAGTCGTATTTGCTGCTAACCAAATAAAATCTAACTTCGAATCGAAAAAGATTTCATAACTCTTCACTAAAAACTCTACTGAACTATTTTATTTTCGTTTATTCTTCATCGTTTATCAATCTATATGTATATAATTGGCTTTTATGAGACTTGAACTGCATAAAACATTTATTCTTATTTGAACTACAATTTTAAAAACTTATATAATACTGTCGATAAATCAATAGGAGAAAAATTAATCTATGATAAATTCCTTTATTGATTTTCAAGGCTAAACAAATGACGATAATGTCAAGTGAAAAGGGATTAACTAGTAACAAGGACTTTCTTATATTTTATGAATGATATATATATATTTACCTGTTGTTTCTCCATCTCTCTTATTTCGACAGAATGGACAACCACCTTGTTCCAATAAAGCTAGTTCAAATTCATCATTATGATAAAACTATTCAAATAATATATATATATATATATATATATTGTCTTAAAAAAAAAATCAACTATTACTTTATTACAATGTCGACAACGTCCAACAGGTTGTTCAGGTACAATAATTCGATACCATTTCCATCTTAATGGAAATGGCCATTTACATACAAATACAAGTGATGGATCCATTGCTTTAAGTAACGCACGATCAACAACAACAGGTCGATAATCATCTGGATTTGGACTATATTTACTCATTTTTTTTAAAAATGGATCTTTATCTTCCGCACGTGTTGTATTTCCTTGTTCAGTAATAACAAGACGATTAGCTGTTGATTGATTTATTTTTGTTGTTGATGATGATACATTTTCTAAATGACTATTTGGTACTTGTTCAAGAAGATTTAATGCATCTTCATCATTTATATCCGATGGAAGAATAAATTCAACCAAAGGAAGAACATCAAATGAAAGAAATGAAAGAACCTAGAATACGAAAAAAAAATTGTTATATTAAAATCAATCAAGAAACTTACAAATGGACTTCCACAACTTGAACATTCATTTCCACGTGTATTTAATAATTCATTATGATGTGAACAACGATAACATAAAGGTAATAAATCATGATCATCACTAAATGTTCTTGCTTCCATTTCTAATGCTAATTGTTCAATTTCAATTCTTTTACTACCTAAATTATGTGTAAATGTTAAATCACGCATTAAATAAATCATTTGTCGACTAAATTTATTTGCATTTAAAATTTTAGCTATTTTACATGCAGCATAACATGTACGAAATTTTGATAATGCTGGTGGTATATCACCAGGTAGAGTAACTAATTTATGATATATAAAACGTGCGATATTAAATAATATAACAGGTGGTGTATCAACAAATGGTTCTGTTGTATATTCATATATATATTGATATGCATAATAAAGTTCAGATAATAATGAACAACGATGATAACGTTTAGATAAATCAGCACGTAAATCATCATTTAATGTTTCACTTAATGCTAATAGATATTCTTTTGATAATAACCAATTATAATAACCAGCATCATTAAAACGTGTTTCATTAACAGCATTATTTGTTAATGCTTGAAGAACATTTCGTGCTTCGACAACACGACCCGCTTTATGAAATGCACGTTGTGCATCAACAAAACGATCATGTTCAGCTAAATGTTGACCATAGTTATAATATGCATCTGATGCATATGTTGGATAACGACGAACTAAGGCAAATACTTCATTCCATTGTGAAAGAATAATACGCATATCTAATAAAGATTTAATATCACCCATTTTCTCATAAACATCAGCTGCATAGGTATATTGTTTCATTTCAACAAAATAACGTGCACAACGTCGTAGAAGATCGGTTTGGGCTTTATCTAATTTACCTGTTATTGTTGCTAATCTATATATTTAGAAGAATTATGATTTTTACAATTCATTTTAAATAAACTTACAGATCTGCCCATTTATTTTTTCCAGCTATGTCAATGGCTTTTTGAAAATCATTTGCTGCTAAAAATAATTCTGCTGCACGACGTTGTTCATTCATTGTTATTGCCCATTCTGCTTGTTTATTTAATAATTTCTGTTGATCAACATCACCTGCGACCATATATTCCTAAAAAGAAAATTATATATATTTTTCGAAAAAATCTTATTTATAAAATATACTTTAGCTTGATCGAACATTCGTAAATCAGTAAACATTGTCATTGCTCGTTCAGGTGCTCCAGCATGTTGATAATTTCTTGCAGCATCTTGAAATCGACCATAATATGCATAGTAATCACCAAGATTAATATTCATTTTAGTTTCACCACGTTTTGCTGCATCCTTGCAAAAATAAATAAATTTTAATTATTATTATTTTTTTTGTTAAAATCTCAATATTTTTTACTTCATAATTTGCTAATAAACTCAAATATTTTACATCTCTTATACGGCTAAAACATTTTTTTGCTAAATTAAATTCTCCTTGTTCAATACAAGCATGTGCTAAGGCATCCCAAGTTGTACTTGTTTCACCTAAACATGCTAATTCATATGCATTTCTAAAAGCAAACAAAAAAAAGAAATTACAAATTTTAAGTAAAAATTTTTTTACCTAAGTTGTCGTTTTCCTATATAACGATAAACAGGATCTGTTACAGGAACAGTTACACCACTCATCGCACATAAATGTAATAAATATATTGTACAACCATTAAAACCAACAATAAGACCCTAAATAAATACATTCATAGAATTCAAATAAAAAACAAATAGATAAGATCATATTAGTAATCATGCAATAATCATTAAGTATGCAATAGTACTAGTCAAACTAAATACCGAAATTAACATGATGACAGTCTTAATCATTATCAGAGCATATGGGTCAATGAACGATGAGCACACGAGTGTTTAGGTCGATAATATCGACTAAAATAAAAACAGCCAAGGCAAATATGAATCAACATGGATACAGGAATCTATCAATATTATCTTTTCTGGACTAGCGCCGTCACCCACACTCAGATGCTTGCGTGCTCATCGTTCCGATTCTCCATTCTATTGATTGAATATTAATTTGACTGTACATCATTTTGGCTAGGTAATAGTTTGATTAGCACTAATTACATACCACCAATTAATCATCTAATTTTACATACTCCTCGATTTGTATTTTCATACGTATGTCGAACATGATTAGTTATAGAACGCTAGATATACACACACAAAAAAAACAAGTATTATATTCAAACAAGTAAGTATTAAAAAACAAATAAGATTTTCTCAATAATTTTACCGAAACTTCAAATTCATTTATAGGTATCTAGATTTATTATTTTTGCTTTTATTTTATTTTTTATGAAAAAAAAGTCAATTGAACTTACTTGTAAATTTTGTTTATAAACAGGGAAATCGGATACTTTTATATTAATAAAACCATTTCCAGAAAAAGCAAGCATATCAGGAAATGAAGTATTCCATGCTACAGTTTGTGCATTTGGTTCCTTTTTTTTTCAAAAAATAAAAAGAATTAAATATTCATTTATTACTTTTATGTTTTACTTGATAAAGTAATTCTTTTGTTTGTATATTATAAACAAAAAGTGTTAGTGTGTCATCAATAATTGCTACTTTTGTACGATTTACATTCATATCAACACAAAAAATAATACCAGTTTGTTTAGCTAAGAATTGAGGAAATGGATTATTAACAAATATTTGATAAACACCACCATTTTTTAATCCAATTAATACAGCTTCACATCCTGGAGGGCCACCTATTAATTTTAAATAACGTATTGGACTATCCATTTGCCTGAAATAATTGTATAATTTTCAGAAATATAAAAATCAAATATTTCTGATACGAACCAAATACGTATTTCATCGCCAGAAAAATTATAACAATGTAAACGTTTATCTTGACAAGTAATAACATAGGATGTTGTAACAATCATTGAACTACATTCAATATTTTTATTAATTTTCGATGTTGCTTTATATTTCATATCATGTGGAACATCGCCTGGTGCTTCATAAAGAAGAATTTTATCAAGAGTTTGAATCTAAATAAATTATTTAGATCAGAAAATAAGTAGATATTAAAACAAAACCTTTTAGTTTCAATAAAAACTCTTAATTAGCTCATACAATAGTACTCCACATGTGGTAAATCTTCAACATTTAGAATATAGGAAACACAACATAACGTTGTTCCATAGAGAAAAAGTGAAAGTAACGAAGATACTAAAATCCTACCAAATTTTCTATTAGAGCTCTGAATGAACTAAATGATTCATCTTGCTTGTCTTAAATCGATACTAAAATTTAACTACATGCTTAGTTCTACTTACCATTGTATATAGAAAAAACTCATGTGAATATCGATGATGATATATTTCGATACTAAACCCAAGTAACCCTCGCTCAGCTCTTCCTCGTAGAAATGGCATTTCCAATAGAGCTAAAGACGTTCTTTATAAGACTGTTCTTCGATCGATCAGTGAGGTGCGGACACATAAGTAAGCAATCAAGAAGATAATTTACGTTTGCAAGACTCTTCTCTACGAGAAAGAGAATAAATTAGATATCATACTTACAGCAAGTGTTGTTTTATATGTTGCAATTTTACGCACTAATTCTCGACATTTCACTTTAACTAAAATGAAAAATAATAATTCTTTTGTTTTATTAATTATTCAATTTACCTTTTTGATCTGTTGTTAAATGATGAACAATTACATCTGTCATATTATCTCGATATGCATATCGATCTTTATGTATACCATGTACAACTCCAAATTTAACATCATACATTCCAATAAAACCATCTGTTGTACCAATAGCCTAATCATGTGGATATAAAATTACAAAAAAACGTTTTCTGTCTAAATTATTTTTACCACTGCTGATCCATCTGGTTTTGCACAGCAACACCAAATCCAAGCATCTTGTGTACAAACAGTACCTAATTTAAATCCTTCGCGACTATATATTGTACATTCTTTATTAGAACCACCAACAAGTATAAATTCTGCTCGAGATTCTTGTTTATATGCGTCTTTAACAAGCCAACTTAATGCACATGGATCAAAACCAAGTTTACGTTCTTTTCCAGACTAATTTATATTTCAAATATAGAAAAATTTATAATAATCAAAACTCATACTTGTTTAGCATCTGTTGCTTGATATAGTGTTAATTTTTGACCCCAGTCAACAGCTGCTAGAAGAAGTTCTTCATCTCTTAAAAAATAATAAAGTATTTTGATAAAAATTGAGAATTATTTGAATTTTACCTAGTAGGAGACCATGCTAAATTCCATATAGGAGAACTAGCTGCATCAGGTCGATCGAATTTATATTTTTCATTTCCTTCCTAAGACAATTCGAAATAGATTAGTTATATGATTAATTGTTTACAATTATTTTCTACCTTATCTCGAACATACACTTGTCCATTATAAAGTCCAAATGCAAGTAATTGTCCATCTGCACTCCATGCACAACAAGTAATTCGTCCGGTTAATTTCGTTTTAGTTACATTTTTTTGTTCTGGTGACCAAAGACCAAAATCTGCATTTGAACAACTAGCTAATAAATGTGATGTAGGATGATAGGCAACAAATTGAACAGATGAATCATGTCTAAATTATATCGATTTCAAATGAATGAAAAAGCAAAAGAAAAATACATACGAATATTTTAACATTCCTTGTAATTCACTTGTCCATATAACAACTAATTTGTCAGCACCACCAGATGCAAAACGACTGCCATCAGATGCATAAGATATTGTATTGACTATCTCTGTATGTCCTATTTAATTTATATAATATAGTATTAAATAAAATGAGTAGAAAAGTATGATTTCATACCACTAAGAGCACTTTGTAACACTCCATCAGCGGTATTGTAAACTAATATTTTTGCTCCCATAGCTGCTAATAATTGAGTTCCATCAGGATTAAAACATAACGAATTAACACTAAATTAGAATTATTTTTCCAAGTAAAAAAATATTTTAATAAGAAAAAATTATCTTACCCTTGTTCTTCTAAATCTTCGTCAACAGGTTTAACACCCCATAAATTAACAGACTTCATTGATATAGATACTTTCAATGTATACAAAATCTAGTAACAATTCAGTAGGGTGAATATCACTATATGGTAACCATTACGGAAATATTTGTCAAAGTACTACCCTTAAAAAAACAAATATTTTATAAGCAACAGTAATAAAACTTATTTAATTATACATTGATTTCGTGATGTAAAAAAGACTTGAAAAAATTATAGAACGATAAAATTTTTATAGGAAATATATAAAAAGATGTCGCTAATGTATTCAAAGCCATGAAAATTTCACTTTCTTTTTTCTTATGTATGTGCTTTTCACTGAATCTGTCTATGATGATGAGAGAATTTTAACACATACAAGTACTCAAAGTCTTGTTAAGAAGAGTTCTCTGCTTTAAACTAATTCTTTACTCCGATTATAATCAGTAATTGAACAAGATCAAGATATCTGATTTAACGAGGAAGGATCTGCAAGTGTGAGTTACCGTCTTAAATAATTGAGTCAAATGATATAAAGTGTTTTATGTCATTCGACTCAGTTTGGCAACCTTTACAAATCATAGTATATTTCCAGTTCAAAACAGTGACTTACAATTAGGAATCCTCCCTCGCTAGCTAAATCTATTTTACTATAATAAGGAAATAATGGAATAGATATAAATATATAATATAATAACATATAGATGGAAGTAAAGAAAACCAGAGGATTTTTTAATAGTTGAAAATAGTAATATCATGATGTCTGCCATAAAATCTGAAAATATATGAACAGAACGTGGTGATAATGCAGAATTGAATATTCTTACGAGTAACGATGAAAAAGCCTACCTTTAGAAACATATTGTCTATTACTACGAGAAGATTAATCGTAATGGATGAAATCGAATTTAATGCATCGATGTATCAATAAAGAAATGATCTACATTTCTTACTCAGACTATGATGAAACCTAGCAAGTACTTTCGTTCGATAGTGAAGATACTAAATTTCCGTTCTGAAAAAAAATGAAACCATTAACACTCTTACTTACATTTTATAGTACAGTGTAATATACAAGACAAATAATTAAATGTATGAACATTAAGATTCTCATTCTTCGGATTCCAAGTCTAATATCCCTATTCAATAGATCCTCAAGCCTCAATTACTTTAGATGCACGGACGAAAAAATTATCATTCTGACCAAGCATTACAATGCTCATTAAAATTCAAATATCTCTATTTAAATCGTCTTCATCATACTGATTTTTTTGTATAGATGATACATTACTAAGTAGAGATTACATCTGTATAAAAAAATACTTTGAAACATCCAATGACTACGAGAAACTTTTCATGATTGTTCGGATAAAATATCGATGGTGTGATATAGAAGTTTTCTCTTTTTTAACTATTCAATATATTTCATTGTTATTTTTTCTAAATTATAGAAAGAATCTGGAATAAGTTTATTCATTAGAACAAAATTAACAAAAGCATTTAGGTAAAAATATTGAAAGCATTAAAACTAAATTTTGAAATACAGTTTAATTTTAATGATATTTATATTCAAAATTAGTCATAACTAGATGTAATCTATTCATCCATTCTCTTAATAATCGAACAATGACAATCGACCGAACATTATGTGTAAGTGATGGTGAACTTCGATATTTTGTTTCCGAAAATTGTATTTGTTGTACTTCATTAATTAATGGCCATTTATATGAATAAACATTTAATATACTTCGATATCGACATATAATTTCATATCGTAAATTATCTTGAATTTGTCGAAGTAATAAATCAACTGTAAATGCAAATATATCATTCATACTTAATATATCATTAACAGAATTATAATAATAACTTATTGCATAATGTGCTTCTGATAATATATGATTCAGATCATTCTAAAATACAAGAAAAAAACAATAAAATCAAGAGAAATAATAATAATAAATTTAATTACTTTATCAATATTACTATCTAAAAAAAATTTTAGATGATATTTTGATTTTGGTAAATGAGATTCAATTGTTGCCATTTCATAATTAATAAACGAATCGATTGTTTTCGTATTTGGATTATTTTCGAAAATAATTTCTTCAATTAAATTTAGTGTGCGATTAACATTTGGAGTAACATCTCCAATTTTAGTAATAACATCTTTTACACATAAAATATTGAATTTTGCCTTACACATATCATCATCGGCTTGTCGCTTATCCGATGCTGATATAAATCCAATCCAGATAAATATATTCACAAAGATGAGAAGTTTTGTTAGTACAAACATTGGTTTGTCTTTATAAAAATAAAGAGAGACCAGCTCAAAGACGATCAACGTCTTCTATAGTATAAAACTATAGAATCTAAAATACTTACACATTAAAATATGATATTATCACAAGAAAAAAAAATAATAATAATTATAAAAGAATACCTGACTTTTCAACAATAAATATATTACTAGGAAAATCTCTTTTTAATATCAAACAAATTATACTGAAAATCTATCCTATAAGTGAGAGAATTTATTAAGTACGCATATATATATCTATCTATCTAATAACATCAAAATAGAATGAACCATAAAAGATTTTTCCCTAATGTTCAATCCTTCAGTCAATAATCAACCTTCTATTTGCTAAAACTTGATGTATACAATAAGGTCCTTTGCGTAGGCATGTGTTGGTTATTTATCTAATAATATTTCAATCCTAAAAACAAATGAACTAATTATATTTTCATAGAATATTAAATATTAGTTTTACACTGAACATGTAGGAAGATTTTGTCATAACTACACATCGATTACACATACGTGATATTATTTTATTCACGTGTTTCAATTTTGTATGCCTAGAAAAACACATGAATGTGGATGTACTTTTTTTATAGAGATTTTCTAAATAATATACTATCTATTGATTTCCGGTAATATGTCACACGTTTTGTATGTCTAACAAAATAGATTTTAGTTATTTTTAATAGGAAATTATTTTTTGTTTTTTCTTCACCAAATAAAAATGTAGTCTCTAATTCCATCTTGCCACGTACTCATATTTATAAAAAAAAATTAACCACATCTTAGCACATCGATAATATCGATTATGATCAGTCGATGTCTTCTTTTCTTTGTTTTTGACAATATATTTATAAAAAATGATCAACATTGTTTTTTATCGGAGATTTTTAATGTAAAAGTTTATTATCCATTCAATCATTTAATGATTGAAATATAGAAGTTTGATAATATATTCATACTTAAAGTTTTTAAAAATGATCAATGTTGTGAATAGAAGCATTAGCGTATATAACGGATATACATAAAAAATAATAAATATACTGTTTCTACCAGAAATTATGTACATGACTGACGTCATATTCTATTAATCACCATCTTTAAGTTTTAAGTTACGATTATTAAAAATAACAAATTATGATTTTTACATAAATTAGAATATGCGTCTTGAAAGTTTGATATAATAGAAGAATCAAACATGTATATCACTGCAAACTACAAGATAGATTCAGAAATGGGCGATAGAAAAGAATCCATGTCTTTAGCTGTCTAGCTTTAATTTTTATGAAAGAAATCTTTTTTTTCATAATAAAGAACATATATTTAATATTGTACAAGATAGTAATGGAAATAAATAATAAAAGTTAAGTTAAAATAATAGAAAACAAAATTAATTTTCGAATAAAATATAATATTTCTTTTTTAACAAAAATCTAATATAATTTTTTTATTAACTTAATAGAAGCACTTGAAAACATGAATTATGACTAATATTATAGATTTTGTATCAAAGCATAAATTATGAGTAATATTATAGATTTTGTATAAAAACAAATGTACACACGGAATAATATTATAGATTTTATATAAAAGCAAGGGGCACACGATGTATACTTACAACAAAATTTTGTTTTTGCTTTTTCATACATGGTTAGATAGAGCTTGTCAAGCTGAGTAAGAATATATTAGTTTTAATATTTTTTTGAAACGTTTTTGAAAAACATTTTTGAGAAATAAAAACAAATTGATTTTTTAATGTTTTTTTCCAATTTTAGAGGTTTTTTTCAAGTCTTAGGACCTACGAAAATGATATATCTAGATTCCTCGTGAAAAACTGCATCGATCTGACCTATTTTGAATGATTTTGTTATATTCCTTAACGAAAATATGCTGGTGAAACAAAAAGATTGAAAAGTGAAAAAAACGTCAAAAAACGTCAAAAAGTGGTTTTGGTAGAGGTTATTCATACTCTTCCTTTATTTATTAAAAACAATTTACATAATTTAAGTAAGCTTTCGAATACATTGTATTCTTCATCAGCCTATTTTAACTATACAGTTTATACGTATTTATATATTTTTTCTTTTTTCTTTTCTTTAAGGGCCCCCCCCGGGTCAAAAATTTTTTTTTTTCCAGAGCACTCAATCTTAGTGAAATTTTTACTGAATATGTACCCGACCTTGGATAGTCTTCAGTAAAAAATTGAGCTCATAATATAGAGTTTTGCAAGAGTTATCCTAATATTAAGGGTCAAAAGTAGGTCTTCGTAATTCCAAGATTTTCTTCGCAGTTTTAATGATATCGATCTCGGGATAGCGCTAAAATGTGCAGAACACTTGTCTCTACAACCTAACAAAGCCGGTTTTTTGAAAAAAAAGAAAGTGTTTCCTGAAAAAGGTTTTTGGAAAAACTTGAGGTTATCTCTTTAGAAAACTCGATTTTTTCATAACGAACTAGGATGAAAACAAAAATTCCGGCTTTGTTAGGCTCTAGTACTGGGCTTTAGCTTTATTTTGAAACCTTCCCGAGCGTTCTAGCGCTCAAAATGGCAGAGAAATCTTGGAAATACGGACAGACAAAACATAAAAAACACTTTCGAGAAAAAGGCAAAACAAGTTTTTACTTTGATTATCGAAATTTTTCTTCTAAAAAACTTGATATAGAGAAAAATTCAAATAGTTTCAATAATCGAGGTTTTTAAAAAAAACAATTTTCGAGTAGGTTTTTCAAAAAACTTGCTGTAAAACCATCAAAAACCACCGCAAAATCGATAAACTATAGTCTGTTCGAAAGTGTAGATGATGGGCTACCTAAATATGGATGAATCTCGAAATCGTTATTTTTGAAGAAAAAAATTTTTTTTGACCCCGGGGGGGCCCTTAATAGTGAGACAGGAGACAAGACGGTAAAGTGACTAGGCAAGTATGTAAACTTCTCCTGTATCACTATTAACGAAAAGAAAAAAGAAAAAAATATATAAATACGTATAAATTGTATAGTTAAAATAGTCTGATGAAGAATACAATGTATTCGAAAGCTTACTTAAATTATAAAAATTGTTTTTTAATTAATAAAGGAAGAGTATGAATAACCTCTACAAAAATCAATTAACCTTCCTCAACCAATATCAATAACTTATTTCATAAAAGAACAATGAATTGTTGTTAACATCAACTGTTCATTTTTTTTATTCAAATATTGTCGACATTTACAAAAATATCTAGATAAAATACTTAAAGTATACTAATAAAAATTCAAATAATGGTATATGTTAACGAAACTTGCGTTCGATATTAATAATCACTGGATGCATTACTGTTATCCATTGTCTCAATAATCGAACGATGATTATGGAACGAACATCATGTAAAATTGATGGTGTATTTCGATATTGTTGTGGGGAAAATTTTATTCGATTGATCTCGGTAATGATGGGCCATTGAGATGAGTAAACGTTTAGCACATTACGATATGGACAAATAACTTTATTTTGTAGATCTAATTTAACTTGGCGAAACCATGTATTACTTGATAATCCAAATGCATCTTGAATTTTTAATATATCTTCAATTGAATTGTAATAAAAACTCATTGCATCATGTGCTTCTAATAATAAATCAATGAGATATGTCTAAAAGAGAAAAAACATAATTAAAAACTGCTCAATAAAAACTATGATTATCATTACCTTATTAATATTATTATTCTTAAAAAAATGTGCATGATATTGTCGTGTTGGCAGTACACTTTGAATATGTCCTATTTCAAAATCTATATAACGATGTAATGTCTCATTAATCGTAGTTGAAATAAGTATATTTTCTTCGATTTCATTTAATGCTCGACTGATACTTCGAATAGTAGTTGCAATCTTCATAAGCTCATCTCTTGGACACAGGAGTTCTCGTACTCTGCTACAGACCTTGTCCATCTTCAATGATTGATCTGCGAATACATTTTTAAATAATATTATCACCAGTGTAATACAAATAGTTTTTGTAAATGGATACATTGTATATATTGTTAAATAATAAGATTAGTTTAATGGTGATTAAAGTCGATAGGATTGATATTGATGCAACCATAATTGTATTTTATAGTGTCATTTCTTCGAAGGAAAAAAGTAAAGCGTTAGTAATAGCCACTGAATGAATCATGCAAAATGTTTTTTTGTAATGCGATGCGAAAACAGCGATGCCAAAGCAGAAGCATTTATGTAGTCCTTCGCGAGTTTTCTTTTTTTCTTCCTTTCTTTCTTACTTTCTCGACGTTTACATTCAAAATGGTCATTTTTGTTACGGGATGATCTCAGCAATGGAACATCAGAAAATACTCGTTTAAACGGGAGATTAACATTTCAACATTGGACTAATTTCACACGTTTTCCGATTTTCAATAGGACGTTTAGTTTCTTTACAGGAAACCTCACAAAAACATGGTTTTGACTATTTTAAATTTCGAGATAATAAAAACGAAAAAAAAAAGCAAAAGTTAGGCGCCATTTTTGTTGAACAGATGTTTTACAGCTGAGAGAACATATGATGGATACGAAATAAAAGAGCTTTTATTTCAATAAATAAAAAAAGACTTTCACAAAAAAAAACTTATATTTAATTTGTCAATTTCGATACTACAAATTTATTTTTTTATACTATAATTTTAAATGTTCACATTTTTATGAAAATCCTAAAAGCATTGTTTCGAAATTCTTCTTTCCAATCGCATTTCGTAGTCGAGTACAACTCGAATACTTTCTAGTATTCTCACTTGTTTAGTTAGTAATTAGTCTTACACTTGCAGAAGAGATTCTAATATATTGACATGTAGGTATAGAGAAATACTCATTGTGTACATAAAGAAAACAGCTATATTTTTGTGAGACTGTTAACATTAGTCACTAATAAATCCATCCAAATTCCTATTAATATTATATATTAGTCATTTTATAATATTCTTTGAAAAACAACGGTACTGGCCCCTTCCACATCACACATTAAATTTGTATCATAAGGTGTCAATATATAACATTAATTCTAAGTCATCAATGAAATAAGTATCATTTAATGAAAATAACATAAAGAAAATCTTGGAATCAATAAGTCAAATCACAAAAATAGAATAAAAATAATCACGTATGAGATATTTTATTTCCTTTTTACTAAAAAGTCTATGCACTTTTTTTATTAATTTAATAGTTGTACTTGAAAACAACAATTACGAATCATATGATACATTTTATATCAAAGTAATTCATGAATAAAAATGTGAGTGACAAATACATACACTTTTCGTTTGGTCTCTGTTTCCATATACAAATCATAATATCTATTTCATAACTTATTTCAAAAAAAAGAAAAACTATTATTAAAATCATTTGTTTATTTTCTTATAAAAATATTGTCAATATTTACAAAAATATCTAGATAAAATACTTAAAATATAACAATAAAACTATAAATAATAGTATATGTTAACGAAACTTTTGTTCAATAGTAGTAATAGCGAGATCTATTCTTTTCGCCCATCCTGTCAGTAATTCAGCAATGATTATGGCATGAGCATCATGTAGAATCGATGGCCAATTTTTAAATACTCTTGAAGAAAATTTTATACGACTGATTCCGGTAGTCAAAGGCCATTCTGATGAGTAAACATTTAGCACATTACGATATGAACAAATGACTTTTTGTTCTAGATCAGATTTAATGTGTCTAAACCATTCATTAGTTGATGATCCAAATGGATCATGCATCTGTAATATGTTTTTAATGGAATTGTAATAAAAACTCATTGCATAGTGTGCTTCCAATAATAAATCAACAAGATGCGTCTACAAGAGAAAAAAAATATAGGTAAAACGAACACAATACAAATTATATTGATCATTACCTTATTTATATTATTATTTTTATGAAGATTTGTGTGGTATTGTGGTGTGGGTAGTTGATATTCAATCTTACTTATTTCTAAATCTTTATAACGATGTAATGTAGTATTAATTGTTGTTTTAATCAAAATATCTCGTTTGATTTTATTTGATGTATCATTAATATCTCGCATAACAGCTGCGATCTTCATAAGTTCATCTCTTACGCACAGTATGTCTCGTGTTACACTGCAAATATTGTCAGTCTTCAATGGTTGATCGGCTAATACATTTTTAAGTAATATTAGCACTAATGTAATAAAAATAAGTTTTGTGAATGGATACATTGTATTTAGTGGTAAACAATAAGATTAGTTTAATGGTGATTGAAATCGATAGGATTGAAATTGATGAAATCATAATTGTATTTTATAGTGGCGATTGTTTCGAAGGAAATAACCAAACCTTTAGACACGAAACTATGAGTAGAAAAGTCACCTACTGAAAAGTACAGGGAATGTTCTCAGTGAATTCGAGACGACAATAATACCGCACGTCACAAAATTCAATTTGTTGGAAAGAGCCACGTGTATGATGTTATATCAATAAAATGAATCATGCAAAACGTTTTTTTGATTCTCGCTTGTTTAGTTAGTAATTAGTCTTCCACTTACAGACGAGATTCTAGTATATTGACATGTAGGTATAGAGAAATACTGATTATGTACATAAACAAAAACAGCTGTATTTTCTGCAGACTATTAACATTAGTCACTAATGAATCCATTGAAGTTCCTATTGATATTACGTGTTAATCATTTTATAATATTCCCCGAGAAATAACTGTACTGGCGCCTTCCAGACAGCGCATATCAAATTTGTATCATAAGGTGTAAATACATAAAACTTAATCCTAAGTCATCAATGAAACAAGTATTATTAAATGAAAATAACCTACCTTGAGTTACCGATGCTTCGTTAAATGATATTAAAAGATTGTTCGAATAATAAATAATGAATATAAATGCACCAAGAATTGATACAGTTAACAGAAGGTATAGACTTCTTATGTATTCATTAATTTTTGCGTAGTAAGAGAAATAATGAAAAATACCAGTATTTTTCATTTATAAACAATGCATGTGTACTTCGATTTCTACGTAGATCAGAATATGTGTCTTGAAAGTTTGATACAATAGAAGAAGTAGACATAGATATCACGAGAAACTACAAGATATATCAGGTATATTCAAAAATAGAAGGTACAAAAGAATGCGTACTTTTTTCTAAACATAGGAGATATATTTAATACTGCACAAGACAGTAATAGAAATAAATAATAAAAGTTAAGTTAAATGATAGAAGACAAAACTAATTTTTGAATAAAATATAACATTTGTATTATTACAGGGATTCAACTAGAAATAGATAGAAATTCTAACTGTTTTACTCATCATTCTTTATTTTTTTGTTTTAACAACATTGAAAGATGTATTTCATAATAAGATATCTTTTATTCATTACGATTAATTTATAGGCAAGTAAGATACAAGAAGAATATATTAACATAACAGCTTCTCTGCAACGGCTGGTAATAAGAACTTTTATGTAGTATATCTAATAATAAACACGGTTCTTTTCAAAACTCATTATATCCTCTTAGTTATACAATCATGTAATTTCTTCTTTTAACTATGTATATACATATCAATAAGTATATCTTAGAATCCTATGAAAATATCAATAATCTTGTGATTTAAATTAGTTTGAATGAAAAGTAAGATTATGTAGCTTTTTCTTTAAATTTTATGTTTTGGAAACTTCCAATCGGTCTCTCGATTATTATCAACCTTTAACGATACCAAACTAGAGATGTAACAGCAAAACATGAACAAAAATAGATGTATAGTCAATTTACATCATCAACTTTTTAATCATAACGATTATTGATATTTTCATACATTGCTATATAAAAGTAGAATTAATCAACTTGAGTATTTATATATTTTCAAAATTGATCGTTAGATGAGTTAACAACATTTATGTATATGATTATGATGTAAACTGACGATATGTATATTTTTATTCATGTTGAGGGTGGGTGTGGATTATTGGTCATTTCATTGATACCCACGCCCACACTCATCCGGCCAGACCCTAGTTCATTTCAATTGAACTACAGATGTTGATCAGCTCATTTCACTTGAGCTGGAGTTGTCACATGTCTACTTTTAACTATTGTTGTTTACAGAAATTTGATTCGTATTTCTCCATATAGTTTCAGTATTTCACATAATTATACAAGTAAATATCCATTTATAGCATTAATTATTGATGATCGTGTAACTCAGTTAGTTGTTAATGCTGTTATAACTGTTTTAGAACATATTCCAATTGACTAGAAAGTATAAATTATGACACGATATCAACATTAATTATTTTTTAATAAATCTTCGTTTACCGTGAGACTCACTTTTTTCTTTGCCATTATTTTCATGATATCTACATCTTCAAGTATACTTTCTCTCAAAGAATCAGTAGTAGTTTATTTATTTTCAAAAGAAGAATTTTATTGATTGCGCAAAGCGAATGATCTTGTTTGGAACAGATCAGAAAGCAATAATTAAGTTTATGAAACTTTTCTATACTGTTTTACACGTCCAAAACTAATGTTTTGAACTTTGAGTAGTTGAAATACATATAGTTTCTATGCATCCAAAATAGTTCCATAACTAGAAATGTCATTATTAAATGATGAATAACTGTCCAATATATGGATATACTGGTATATTTACCAATATTATCCATATTCGCAATGTTTTGTTGAAGTTCATAATATCGAGCGAGCGTAAATAGCAGTTCCCATCGTGTAATGTTATATAAGCATAATGTTTTTAGTAAAGCAGTAAAATGTTAATGAATAAATAAATAAAGGTTAGTCATCAATAAACCTTAACAATGCAAGAGAACACTGACAGTGTACGGCGGATCATAGTTTACAACAACAATATCAGGTTCATTGTCGCTATTCACATCCACGATTGCTACTGAGTATGGAGAAGAGCCAACTGGGTAAGTAGTTTGATTATTAAAGGTGCCGTTGCCTGTGTTGAGAAGGACACCGACATTGTTCGAACCATAGTTTGCAACAACAATATCAGGTTTATTGTCGCTATTCACATCGACGACTGCTACTGAATATGGATAAGTACCAACTGCGTAAGTAGTTTGAGCATTAAAGGTGCCAATGCCTGCGTTGAGAAGAACACCGATGGTGCCACCGAAAAAGTTTGCAACAACAATATCGGGTTTATTGTCGCTATTCACATCGACGACTGCTACTGAAAATGGGTTACCACCAACTGTGTAATTAGTTGCAGCATTGAAGGTGCCACTGCCTGCGTTGAGAAGAACACTGACTGTATTCGAACCCTGGTTTGCAACAACAATATCGGGTTTGTTATCACTATTGACGTCGGCGACTGCTACTGACATCGGTTGAAGACCAACAGAGTAAGTAGTTTGATTAAGGAAAAAGTTGCAGGCTAACAAAAACGAAAATTATTTTTAGTATTTTGAATGATTTAGACACGAGAAGTCACCGTTGAATTCTTTAGGATGGGTGTGGTGTATATGTGGGTATTACATTACCCTTATTCTAATACTCACACCCACAACAAGTGTAAACTACTGATAAAAACATAATAAGATCTTTTATAGTTTGATAAAGTTTTACTCATCAGTTTACGGGCCGACTCCTTAGTTTAGTCGATATATAGAAAAGTATAAAACAGTCGTGTCTAGAGAATCACGAGAATTTATAAAACGTCGGCTAGTACCTTCAGTTGCTCCAGATACAATAATAATCGTTCTCAAAGCATACTTCGTACGTTAGGGTAAACACTCTCATGTACTGAAAAAAGACAACATAATGAACGGTCAGATATTTTAGAAAAATCGATTGGACAAATACTAATTCATACTGTCTTCCGCTTCGTATACACATACTAGTTTGCCTATGTAGAAAGATCATTTTTTCGTCTTCAGAAGTTTTTTGTGTAGTAAATTCGTCTTATTTATTCGGATTTGAGATGATTCGAAGTACCAAACACTAAGTTTTTAAATGTCGTGAAACTATTTCTCTTGTCAACATCTAACGTAAGCATTAAATATTTAACTCCACACTTATCACCTGTTGTTGTTGACGTTGTTTTTGATGTTGTTGACGTTGTTGTTGATGTTGATGTTGATGATGATGTTGTTGTTGAAGATGATGATGATATTGCTGATGGTGATGCTGATGGTGATGCTGATGATGGTGATGATAATAATATTGCTGTTGGTGTTGATGATGATGTAATCGGCTCTGTTTCAAAAAAATAAGATTAATGTGGTGTGATAACAACATTAAATAAGGTTTTGTTAAGAAACTAGCACCTCTCCGCTCACTGATCGGGGTAATTTTTTGTGGACAGTTCCATTCTGAAGACAGACACTAATGATTAGCGAACCTCATAAATTACAGGTAGTGAAAAATATCATTGATAGGTGCAAGTTATTTAGAATTTCCAAAATACAATCATCAAATTCATTCAAGTTATTGGAATTTAGATTTATAAATAGTTAGGATATTTTTTGTAGCATTCCGAGATGAAAGCTTACGAGTCATATCGAAAATAAACTTACGATATTCTTGAATATCCAGTATTAATATTGATGACTGATAAAGAAATATAATAGTAGAATTTAAATGAAATTCAACAAAAATTGTACTACTATTTGAACGATATAATTGACAAGTTTGATTTGTTGAAAAATAATTCAAAGCACATATTGCATCATTTACTTTTATCATCTCACATATGCATTGATCTTCTGTTACATTGAGTAAAGTATTATAGATATTACCAACTATTATAATATTTTGTATTTTAGTAATACGAATAGCATTACAAGCAGAAAATAACAATAAAATAAATATTAGCCAAAACATCTTGTACGTCTTTACATTCTAAAATATTTTATAAATGTTTGACTAACTTGTATCACTAGTTTTTTTCTTCTGTTTTCTACAATACTCTTTCTCTCTAATTTAATAATTACTCATTCCCGGAAAAAAGCGCTGTGCGTTTTCCAACAACAATGATACATCCATAACTATACTATGTTATTGTTGTTTCTTTAAGTATGTAGAGGATTGAATTCGTTACCATTGAGATATTAACAAAAGAAAAAAAAATATGAATGAACATACTCTTCTTAAAAACATTCTATTTTTAATTAAATTGTCCTTTTAAAGTATTTTCCAAATATCATGAAAGACAGAAAAAAAGTCGTGATATCAAAAAACGATGTCTTCTATACGCTCAATAAACACATTTGTCCGATGAGAAAAAATTGCTTCTGCTCATTTCAAATAGATTGAACGTAGACGTTGACAACATCAGGGATAAACATATATATTCTGTTGTTTTTCTTTGATTTTGTCAACCACGTCGAATATTATCTTATTTATAATATTTTCCAAATAAAACCCGCTGTAATTAAATATTTTTCTCTTGTATACCCATGTGGCTTCACTATCTTCTGGAATGAATCATACTGAAATAGAAAATCAAGGCTAGTTTCTGATTGAGAGCATATAACATTGTTTTCTATAAGGAAATACAATCTTTCGATCATTAATATGTTTTCTAGAGTTATAATTTATGAATTCACTGGAAAAACTATGTACACTAATACGTATTCTAACTGAAAGAAGTTGCTATTTGTCATAAACATTATTCGTAACATATACACTGAACTACATTGTTTTAATCATCTTTCCTTCTATGAACATGGTACTCGCTTCGTTTAGCTCTAAACAAATGCTGTTTCCTTCTTTTTTCCTCGCCTCCGTATTTTTTCTCTTCATTTTCATCATCTATGTCTTAGTTGAAAAGAATCGATAGAATGCGATAATAATGAAAGAAAGACCGTCAATTGTTAATGTTTAGGATTGTTTTTCTTGCCATTTCTTCATATTCTTCACAATATCACTATTCAAAAACTGTTCCATTGATAACCACTTTTTTTATTTTTTTTGTTACTCTTTCAGTTTACAGATGAAAAAAAACTGCCAGTTGCTCATTTAATATGAGTCATCTTTTTCTCTATGTTGTCATGGGACCTATTTGTACATGTTTTCCGATAACACACTCTCTGAGTAATAATATAAAATCTTGAGGGTGTGGGTAGGTGTGCGTGTGGACGTGGATGTTACTTTTCATTCTCGTACACATCCACACCCTCAACAAGATGCTGTAATAATTCTGCGTCGTTATCAGGGAAAATCACTCTATAAAAAAAACTGAAAAATTCTAGATCAGTAGGTCAAAATAAAAAGGTTTCTTTAATTACATAAGAACAGTATATAACAGACTCTTGCATACTTATCTCTCTGATGATAACTATATATAATATTAACGATATCTAAATCATTTTAGCGTCTGATATTATTTTAATATTATTAGTTTCTCT